CGACTTACATACAAATTCAACTTAAGAACAAACCTACAGTCCCTATCTTGTACGTAACCCGGGGACTGCCTGTAATAAATGAATTAACAACCAGCTAACATGTAGATTTCAAAAAGTACTATAGAACCATCATTCTAAATGGGGTCTTGTAGAGATCTATTCTTGGTCCAATGCTATTCAACATTTTTATCAATCATCTGGAAGAAAAAATAAAATTCACCAAATACTTACTAGTCATTGTCTGGGGCCAGGGCTGGCCCCAATGATTACTACTGAAGGCAGACCTGGAGTGGAGGAGTCCATGCAACACAGTGGTGGCTGCTCGCTGGGCTTTGGGGCACTTGCTTTCTCCACTGTGGTCATTCGTGAGTATTACTTTCCCTGCTATCAACCCTCCACCCCCTTTTTGTTTGATATGAATCAGTCACCTTCCGAATACATGTCATTGTCCTGGCACAACCGAACTCTGACCTGGCTTTAAGTTATGATAAAAGGGAGCTGCATAGCAAAGTTGGTGATCTTAGCTGTTATCATTTGGAGGAGTTTTTGAAGAAATGGACTCATGGATGGACATACAGACAGAAAGATGCACAAAGTCTCTAAAATATATAGTAGATTACTGGAAAAGTTTAAAGATTGACACTAAAAATGGTGGAGTGATAAATAATGACATATTTGTTCTACAGAGCAATCCTTACCACTTAGAAAGCTTTGCTAACTTGAACAATACAATTTTAATGCAGCCAAATATAAGGTCAAAGGAGCAAAGAATGTAGTTCAGACATACTGGACTAGGATTTGTATTCTGTAAGGCAGTGATTCTGAAAGAAATGTAAAGGGTCATGATGAATAACATCTAAACAATGAGCTCAAATGTAATTCAGAGGCTAACAGCTAACATGGTCCTTGAAGGTATAAGCGGGAGAATGTCAAATACAAATAAAGAAGTGATATTATCACTGGAATACAGTATTAGTTAAACTATTCCCAAAATAATTCATCAGTTCAGGTACCCACACTGTAAACATTATGTTGATCAATTAAAAAGAGATCAGAGAAGAACTGAAATAATTATATGAATTCTGGTAAACTTATCTTAAAGTGAATAGTCCTGCCGCACCTTTGAGACTAACAAGAATGTGGATGGTATCATGAGCTTTTGTGGGCACAACCCACTTCTTCAGATGAATGGCGTTTAGAGGTACAGGGTACATATAAATAGAGAAAAATAGTGGATGGGGGGAAGGGAAAGGAAAAAATGGAGAAGAATATTGTCAATTAGTGTCCATGCTAAATGAGATTCATAGAGTGGGCTGTAAGTATTCTGAGTACCCAGTACTTAGCTTTTTATGTCATTGTGAGTACTGGGTACATAGACTACTTAGAGCCCACTCTATTAACCTCATTTAGCATGGACACTAATTGACAATATTTTTTCTCTATTTTTTTCCCTTCCCTCCCTTTCCCCTCCCCTCTCTTTTTCTGCTATTTATTTGTACCCTGGACCCCTTAACTCCATCCATCTGAAGTAGTGGGTTGTTCCCCTGACAGCTCATGAGACCATCTACGTGTTTTGTTAGTCTCCCAGGAGCTGCAGGGCTATTTGTTGTTTTTAAAGTTTTTTTCAGTGACAGACTAACACGGCTCCCCCTCTGACACTTTCCCTGTCTTGTTTCCGAGCTTCGGGTTGCCCTTACCGACTGAGCTCAAGTTTGATATCACTCCAGTGCCGGCTAACAGAACGCTAACTAAGGTAACGGATGCCTCGTAGGGCCAAGTTAGGGCTGAGTGGGCAGGCACCTGAGAGTCCCACGGCTAAGTCAAAGTGAAGCAAGAGGAATGTCCTTGTTTGTATGAGGGGCATTGCGGAGTAACCACAGCGTTCCTGCAGGTTACCGTTCCTCAGGAGGAAATACACAGAGAATGAAAGAGAGGAAAGGGAACTGAAAGAACTGAATTCAGTCCATTGGGAAGGGAGTGACTCTGTAACCCTCCGCGTGGCCTAACTCTGCTACTCTTGCTTGCACCACGGATGTGCACAGCCCTGACCCCCAATCTACACATCCGCAGGCCTGCACCCTCCCCAAACGCTGAAGCTTTGCTCCAGAGGCGGCTCGCCTAGCCTGGTTTTGTCTGGGTTCCCCTCCTTCCCCCCCACCCAGGTTGTGAGGAGGCCTAGTGGGAAGGAAGGGCCTAAGTAGGCATTACATTCTGCAAAAAAATTACAAAGTCCTCCCGCATTGATCTGCATACATATTTGCATCGCATGTACGTATGTAAAATGAAGAGGTTTGTTCTACTCTCGCTACACTCAGTTCTGCAGACAGATGACTCTGCATAAGAGGTAGCATGAGGGGTGCGAAGCTGTCTGTTTCTCAGGCTTCCTCCCTCCTGGGTGGTGGAGCGCTCCTCTGTGTGAACAGTCCCCGATGGCGCCTCCCTTTCAACCTTGTGCACCTACCTCAGCGACCCACATGGCGCAGTGAAAGGCCACGCCTTGCTGGCAGGACCATTCATAAAATCCTAGCACACTAGAACTGGAAGGGACCTTGAGAAGTCATCGAGTCAAGTCCCCTGCCCTCATGGCAGGACTAAGCACCATCTAGATCATCCCTGACAGGTGTCTGTCCAACCTGCTCTTAAATATCTCCAGTGATGGAGATTCTACAACCCCCCTAAGCAATTTATTCCACTTTTAACCACCGTGACAGGAAGTTTTTCCTAATGTCCAACCTAAACCTCCCTTGCTGCAATTTAAGCCCATTGCTTCTTATCCTTGTCATCAGAGGCCAAGGAGAACAATTTTTCTCCCTCCTCCTTGTTACATCCTTTTAGGTACTGGAAAGCTGCTATCATGTTGACCCCTCAGTCTTCTTTTCCGAACTAAGCAAACCCAGTTCTTTCAGCCTTCCCTCATAGCTCATGTTTTCTGGACCTTTAATCATTTTTGTTACTCCTCTTTGGACCCTCTCCAAGCTGGAGTTGACATGCTTTAAGTCGAGTTTCCACGCTGTCCCTACAGTGGGAGGTCGATAGGAGCAAATGCTCCCTTCAGCTTCCCTTACTTTTCATGAGGAGCAGGAATACCGGCACTGATGGGCACACCCTCTAAGTTTGATTTAGCAGGTCTTCACTAGACCCGCTAAATCGAACACTGGAAGATTGATCATAACAGTGTTGATCTTCCGCATAATGAAGACAAACCCATAGTCTGTTCTCCCTTCAGGTACTCTGGATTTATACCAGTGTAAGTGAGAGCAGAGTTTATCACAGAGGACACAGCTGCTAAATTACCAGGTGCTATTTTCACAAAGTTTTCTACCCTGTAGCAATTAGGTGCCGGGTGTGCTCTTCACTTCAAAAGCCCTCTTTGAAAATACCAGCCACTGACATTGCTGAAAAGCAAAAGCACCTGTTGTGGAAAAGCAAAGGGTTCATTGTTGACGGAGCCATGTAGATTTGTTTGTTCGGTAAAGGGAAATGAAGCCGCTATTTAAATAATCACGGCTTCATTTAAATTTAAATGGCTGCTGCGCTGAGCCAACAAACAGCTGTTTGTCGGCTCAGCGTGCTAGTCTGGACGCTCCAGTGTCGACCTGAAAGCCCTTTATTGACCTCCCCGTTATGCCTCGTAGGATGAGGTTTACCGGGGAGTTCGATAAAGGGCTTTCATGTTGACAGGGGAGCTTCCAGACTGCCCCGATCTGCCGACAAACAGCTAATCGGCAAAGCGGGGCAGCCATTTAAATTTAAATGAAGCCTCGATTATTTAAATCGTGGCTTCATTTCCCTTTGCCGAACAAACAAATCTACATGGCTCTGTCGACGGAGCCATGTAGTCTAGATATACCCTTAGTGTCCCAAGCACCACTAACATAAACCATTAGCAATTGGTGCATCCTCATCTACGTGAAGGCAACTGCACTAAACCTTCTAGAAATGGATGGAACCAGTCACATGCTTAGGCACCTTGTAGGATCCAGGCTAACAAACCAGAATCCTGCATGACTGAGTCACTATCCCTTAATTTGTTGATTGCCTGGCATTAGCAAATGTTTTTACTGCTACCTTTTAAGATATCCATTATGGAGGCATTCGTCGGTTCAAATGGAAGAAACCAGAGTTGTTGGTAACTATTTTCCACTTGTTGTGTTTGTTTCCCAATCGAGTACAGGTGTGGTATAACCCAGAGGGATATCACAGCCTTCCAGCCTACCTCAACAGCCTCAACAACTTCATTCTTAGAGCAAATGTGCCGAAAAATAAGTCTTCCGAATACGGTAGGTGCTAACCACGCCTTGAAGCATCTCCTGGTACCCTCACTGAAGGGATCCTAGTTCTCCCTCTGCAGGGGGAAAATGATTCAGATTCATTCCTGGTGTAAAATGGAGCGATGCCAATTTGAACTGGAAGGGAATGTATCCCCTGGGGGAAATCCTAGCCCCTCTAAAACCAGAGGGGAAAGCATTGGGGACAATGTCTTTAGTCCTGGTAGTGCTGATTCATTTCGCGTTCCTTTGAAGAGAGTCAGTGTAACACATCTGTTTCTAGGAACGGCCCTCACCACCCCATCTGAAACACCCGCCCCCTTGAGTCAGTGGGGCCCAGCTATCTCAGTGCGGGAGCAAATCCCCGAGTGAGACGGACTCTGCTGGTAGCCCTCTCCTTTTTTATATACTGATTGGCTCCAGCCCCTTGCTGCTGCAGCAGTGTGGCCTAGAGCCACCAGCCATCTCCCCAGCAGGAGGTCCCAGGCCAATGTAGTTGTTAAGGGGTGACTCTTGCCCTGGCTTGTGAACCCCCTCTCCTGGGATCCCCTAGTGCAGTGGCGACGAGGAGTCCTGTGGCACCTTATAAACTAAATGAAGTGTAGGAGCATAAGCTTTCGTGGGCAAAGACCCACTTCGTCAGATGCATGTAGTGGAAATTTCCAGAGGCAGGTATAAATATGCAGGCCAGGATCAGGCTGGAGATGACGAGGTGGATCCAATCAAGGAGGATGAGGCCCACTTCTAGCAGCTGATCTGGAGGTGTGAATTCCAAGAGAGCAGAAGCTGCTTTTGTAGTTAGCGAGCCATTCACAGTCTTTCTTTAATCCAGAGTTGATTGTGTCAAACTTAAAGATGAACTGTAGCTCAGCAGTTTCTCTTTGAAGTCTTGTCCTGAAGTTTTTTTGCTGCAGGATGGCTACTTTTAGATCTGCAATTGTTTGTCCAATAGTGCAGTGGGAAGTTCTGTTCCACGGGGTCTCCCTGGCTGCCGGAGGACAGGTGGGGGCAACCCTGGATGGAACCAGAGGATCTGCTGCTCTTTGTAGCCTCATTCTTTTGTGCTCAGCCTCGGCTGGGCTCGGAGAAGGCCACCCTCATGACTGTGCAGCAGTTTGGTCCATGGAGAGAGAGAGTGGTAGTATGCGGGGGCTGAGAAACATTCCCCTCCTAGATGATTGGAGAGCTGAGATACCAGGGAGACGCAGTCACAGGGTTCCCCCACAAAAGCACCTTTGAACATACCAAGGCCCCAGCGTGGGACATGGGGGGGAGACCGAGCCCCCAAATGAGAGACACAACACTGTTATTTCGGCAAGGAACCCAAAGTGTGGCATGATCTGTTCCTTTAAACATGAACAAATATCTGCAGCCCCAGCATCACCATTCCTTATTTCTGGTGTGATTTGCAATGCTAAAAGTAAGGACATGCCGAATGTATGTGGCAAAGAGGTCACTTTGGGTGCGTCTAGACAGCAGCGCTATTTCGGGATACTTTTAATATCCCGAAATAGCATTTTCTGCATCTTGACAGCGTGCCAGTTATTTCAAAATAGCTTTTGAAATAACAGGTGCACTATTCCAACGTCCCTGTAAACCTTGTTCCACGAGGATTAATGGATGTTTCGGAGGAGTGGTTTATTTTGAAATTTGGCGCTGTCTACACAGCACCAAATTTTTAAAATAAGCTATTTGGAAATGAACTCAAAATAAACAACGTAATTTGCCTAGCTCAAATTGCGTAGCTTATTTCGAGCTAAGGGTGCAGTGTAGATGCACCTTTTTGGACTAAAATTAATGACATCTTTTGAATTGAAGGACAGTTGAACCATATTTCCCAAAGTGGATTTCTCCTCGGAGAGCCATTTTATCCTACCTTGCCTCTAAGTTTTCTGGAAATGGTCTTCTATGTTAGTGAGAGCAACTCAAAACTCAGAATCTTTCTCCTGGGGCAATTCTGACAACTGCCACATTTGTGTTCATTTTGGATTGTCATGAACCAAAAAAAAAAAAAAAAAACCCCACCATTTCCGGTGAGATGAACTTTAACCATTAACAATTTGAAAAAAAATTAATTTAAAGAGCTTTTCTCTGACTTTTTATTTTATATTAAAAGTTATAATAGAAAATAAACTTGTAAATGAAAAAAATAATAATTGAAACCTTTCCCTTCTGGTAAGTTCAACCTTACAGCTTTTTTCCCTCTGAAACAAAAATTCAGTGAAACTGGCATGTTCCCATGGAAAGTTTCAGGTTTGAAAAAAATGGCATTTTCTGATGGAAATGTGTGGGAAGATTTTATAATGTTTTCAATACATCTCGTATGCTCTGTTTGTCTTTGGAAATGACAGATATAAATGACCAGACTGATAATTCCCAGGTTCCTCTAAGAAACAGGTACTCAGAATAGAGGGGAAAAAGGAACTGATGAGTAAAGCTTAACAGGACTTGTCAGCTGGTCTGAAATGCAACTGGACGGACATCGTAGTTTGCTGGCGGCTGAAAGCCATTTGATGCTGTGACAAATAAATGACAATTTAAGAACCATTGAAATGGCCAGATAAAAGCACAGTCATTTCAGCAATTTGAAAGAGGTGCCAATCCTGCTTTTGAGGTTTGACTTAAACTTCCTATATTTAAAAAAAAAAAAGAAATACATAAAAGGAGCTTTTTGCCCTGTCACCAAGCAAATCATAATAGCTTTCGACTTATGTCTATGGGGCTTCCTCTTCTCCAACACCACAAAAAAAGTATTGAAATGGAAATTTTGACTTCTAGGCTAAGCTGCAGTGAAGGAAAAAATACTTTATTCTGCAGCATTAACAGATTAGTTAGACTGGATGGCCTTTATTTATAACTGAAGAAAAACGTTTTTGAGTTGTTGGTCCATCGCTATTAGCAACTGGAGATTTTCATTGAATCCTGTAAGAAAAATATTGCTCTTGAATGACTCCCCTTTTGTTTTCCCTAAAATGAACTGCAAATAAAATCGCACCAGTCCATGTGTCATTGGTGCAGAGTCTTGACTATAGCACATAAAACGGAGAACAGCATTTTTATACAGCATTGTAACTGCCTAAAGTTAAGCACCTGATTTTCGGCTCCCTTTGAATTTAATGGCAACAGTGGACTGTTTTTCCCAGCACCCCTTGAAAGCTAGGCCATTTAATTGCCTAAATGTTAATTTAGTTGCATAATTTTAGGCACTTGGGCTACGTCTACACTACGTCTATTACTTGGCTTCCGCAAGAGATGTGCTTTTGCGCAAGAGAGCATCCACACTGCCATGGACACTTGTGCAAGAAAGCTCTGATGGCCATTCACAGAATGGCCATCAGAGCACCTGTACTTTTTCCGATAGAGGGTTCTTGCGCAAGAAACCCCTGTTGTCCGTCCACACACTCCTTTTTGCGCAAGAGCTCTTGCACAAAAAGGCTTATTTCTTCTGGAAAGAGGGATAACTCTTGCACAAAAGGCCCTGTCTTCTAACGATCTACTGTATTTTTTCTTGCGCAAAAACATGCTTGTCGTGTGGACTCTCCGCGAGTTCTTGCACAAAAACTCTGCAGTGCAGATGTAGTGTTAAAGTTTGAAAACTTTTAGTTTAACCTCTTCCAGGTCCACAAAGTCGTGGAGACTGGTTCTGTTTTCCATTGAACTTCTCTGGAGCTTGGAACTGACCTTCTGGGATTCAGTGCAGTCTCTCTTCGTATTGCATTATGCTGCAGAAGTCATAGAACCCTAGAGCTGGAAGAGACTCAGGAGTCATCGAGTCCAGCCCCCTGCCCAAAGCAGGACCAGCCCAACTCAAACATCCCACCCAGGCTTTGTCAAGCTGGGACTTAAAAACCTCTAGGGATGGAGATTCCACCACCTGCCTAGGTAACCCATCCAAGTGCTTCACCACCTTACTAGGGAAATAGGGTTTTTTTCTAATATCCAAGCTAGATCCCTCCCCCCCCACACTGCAACATGTGACCATTGCTCCTCGTTCTGCCATCCATCAAGTCTATTAAAGAGAAGCCTCATGGATATTGCTACAAATCCATCCCCACAAAACAGCATTTGCCAGAGGCTCTGGCCATCACTCATCGAGGGTACAACACTCACCCCAGAGCATGGGAGGCTACAGAATGTGGAAAGCGGCTTTCTGCAGCGATGCGGAGTCTCCTTCACCGGAAGAGTGGAGAGCAGCATTCCCTATGGCGTAGCCTAAGAAGCTCATTTTTTCCACGGAGATATCGGCCCGTACAGGGCCAGCAGTCCTCTGCCTGCATGGCCTTTGACACTAGTCCAAAGCGAGTGGTAAATGCTGCCCTATAGGCTGGAAATATTTTGCACCTGCTTTGCTCTCAGGTGTAAATGGTACCGCAGGGGGCAAAGCTGCGGAGTCTTCTTACGACTGCCTCGAGCCTCTGAAGCCGTCGTTGTGGCCGTCACAACAAGCTGATGTTGCGAGAGGGTTTTGTACATCCATGCGCCTTGCAATCAGGACTCAAGAAAACACGTAACTATGCGCGTTGCGGAGAAACAGAGAGAACTCTTGATCGCTTTTCTCCCCAAGGCAAACTAAGAACATAAGAACATAAGAACATAAGAACGGCCGTACTGGGTCAGACCAAAGGTCCATCTAGCCCAGTATCCTGTCTACCGACAGTGGCCAGCACCAGGTGCCCCAGAGAGGGTGGACCAAAGACAATGATCAAGCGATTTGTCTCCTGCCATCCCTCTCCGGCCTCTGACAAACAGAGGCCAAGGACACCATTTTATCCCCTGGCTAATAGCCTTTTATGGACCTAACCTCCATGAATTTATCCAGCTTCTCTTTAAACTCTATTATAGTCCTAGCCTTCACAGCCTCCTCTGGCAAGGAGTTCCACAGGTTGACTACACGCTGTGTGAAGAAGAACTTTCTTTTATTAGTTTTAAACCTGCTACCCAGACAGCAAGGACCTCTACAAAAGAGATCTCTCCTCTTCCTATGCTCTATACAGGCAGTCCCCAGGTTACGTTCAAGATAGGGACTGTAGGTTTGTTCTTAAGTTGAATCTGTA